ACTTTACTCACGATTAGAACATTGTTTTAACTTCTCAATTTCTAAATATCGACGTTTTATTTTATATAGCACATGGTTAAAATATATTTTGAAAGTTCTTTACATTTCATGACTTTCCGCCAACGTAAATTTATTGGAAAATAATAAAATTTCATAGATTCAAAGCCAAGACAATGTTAACAAAAAAATTTTAGCAATAAAGCCCATACACATTTCTGCAAAGGTACGCGAGGCCCTCGAAGTTGAATGGTATTTTGGCTCTCTCAGAGGGTCATTTATTGGCAATTTTGTTTTCCTATTTTTTTCTCGGAAATAAAGCGATATTTCGAATCAAATTGCCCTTTGGCGAACTCGTGGATGCTAGTTGCACTTTCCAGAGATTGGGCTCCCTGTGTTCTTATGCTTATTGACATTTCGAAGCTTTCAAAAGTATTTCGCTCGATTTTATATTTTAAATACTCAGGTTAGCTGGTAAGATGATTAGTCGTCCTTTTTTTTCCCTATTAACACCTACTTTGTTTAGTTCTTTGTTAATTTGTTGAGTTTGGATCATCTACTTTTTATTCATAACGGCTTATTTCGATGACAAAAATAGCCAAACTGTCTTCAAGACTCCATGACTCTCGTTTTGAAATCTGAATGAAACGTTTGTGGCTTGTTAGTGTCGTGTAACATTCGTAATCAGATGACGTAAGACGATCGATATAAACGTTTAAATATCGATCTGCTAACATCTTAGTGAGTGATACATTTGCATATTCAGACCCCTCACAATAACTCGTTTCTACGCTTCGCGTATCCACGAGTTAAAAACAAAGTATACCACGATTTGTTTTGGCTATATGTCTACCTTAATATACTTGGATATGAGCGAAATCGACTTTTTGGCTGTTGCCAGCAAGTTTCGATTTTGTTCGACTTTTGCTGGCATCTTCTAAAAAGAATACGAAATGCACAAATTACAGTAGAATTCTGTGGTTAAAAGGTGATTGAGGGATTTCCTCTGAGGTTCCTCAGCAATAGACACGGTTGATTTCGGCATCAAATCGCTAATAATAATCTCTTAATATATATGGTAAAATAGTGTTGAACACTGAAGCGTTATACTTAACTTTACTGTTGTTTCGGAACAGTTGATCCCTTCTTCGGAGTAAAAGAATAATCTGTTGTACCTTGTGGATGGTTAGGTGCATGCACAGGCAGCCTAAACAATGGTCCTGTGTGTGGTTTATAACAGTTTACAGAATGAGTGGCCCTGCTGTATTGGGTTTACAAACTCGAGGCCGCAGGGCGAGCGGTTTTAGAGCCGATACAGCAAGCCACACGAATTCTGTAAATGGCTTCTAAAACTATTGTTCTAAAACTATTCTTCCAAATTGATTTGTCGACAACAATAGAAACAAAGAAATCCGACGTTCTATAAAGAATTCCGGCGATACTTACAAACAAAGATAACCAGAAAAATATGCATGTTACCGGCTAAATTCGTCTACCCGGCGTTGCAATGTACTAATGTATTGTGGCGTGTGATTTGAAAGTCCAAATGGACTGTAGAGCATGTACGAGAGTTCTGTAGAGCATGTACGAGAGGTGATAGCGCCAAATAAAGCAAACCATAAGGATTCTTGAAATTGAGGGGAGTAAGCAGAGAAATCTACCCCTTTGTCATACATCAATATCATAGCTTCATATACCGTACCATAGCTTCATATACCATAGCTTCTGAAAATTTCAAATAGGAAACTATTATCTTTGCCTATCTGAGAGATTAACACTGACAGTGTCTATAAATCTTTGTCAACGTTTGAAATCAAGAACGATGCGAATTTCTGTTTAGCATGAATTAAGTTTGCTTGATTGAACCAATTGATAAACATTTGTTTATTATGCTAGAGTTCAGAGCGCGGTTGCCTAGCAAAGTAATCCATCCTTATGTCATATATCAACCATCCATAAATTCAATTGTGGAGAGTAAGACAAATCACTGTATTGTTGAGTTTCTTTTCAAGTTGGGATAATATTGCCTCCCTTTTGTAAACTGTATTTTAGTGTATTTTGTATGTGAAAACATTCGTAAAAAATATCTCACTCTTCTTGATTGTGCGTTGGAAAACGAGTCTTGATGAGTCGATTTCGGAAGCCAAAATCCAAGTTTCGTAGCTAATATTATTATATAATTACCAATGAAATATCTATTTTTCTCTATTTCGAAAAATTG